TGGAAAGTGAACTGATCAGCATGACACAAGTGTGGGACAAAGAAAAGATCTGAGTCCCTGACAGGAATTGAACCCATGACCTCCCGAACAACGGGTGGGCACTCTATCCAATGAGCTATGAGAACTCATGGAGAGCAAGGTCATTTAACTGAGTTCATATGTGAATTCAGTTAAATAAATGTCATGATAAATTTGATATGCTCATCTCTGCTCAGTGTATGTTTCTCATTGCTATCTGTTATTTTTTCAGCCGGTGTCAAATACTTGCAAGAGCCTTATATATGGCTTGATGGTGATTGTATTAGCACTTTTTGATGAAGACACATTAGGGGAATTACAGGTATAACAATACTAGAGGTAACATTTTGATTGCAATATTGTTTGTGTTTTTGACACCTGTCCATTTTATCTATTTGAATTAGGCCACCCTTTGTAAGGAAAAGAAAAGAACAAAGAACGAAACAAAACAAAAGAAGAATTGTTTGCTTCTCATGTCATTACCATTCATTGTGTTTTGATGTTGTGTGATTTTACTCGTTTCAGCTCTTGGTTTCTGTTTTATCACAAGCTCTCACTGAGAAAGGCCTCTGTGTAGACTTTTGGGATTCAGTATGTATTCAATCCTTTTTGATTTACATCTTGTGTAGTAAATGAACCATGACCTAGTTATTACAATACTGCATTAGGTTTGAAGTTTGGTTGCTGACCTTGTCCCTCTAAACGTTACCAGGAAGAAATGGTACACTGTATGTGAAGGCAAGCTTACAGAATATTGTGGATAACTTTCAGCAAGTGTCAGTGTAGTTATATGTTTCATGTCTTCATACCTTGAAAAAGACCTCGATAAAGACTGCCTGGACAAACAAATTGTCTTATTAGTAAACTCTCCATTTAATGTTTACATTTACAAAACATGCAGATTATGAGCCAGTTTGTGAGAGTTTTTCTTGAATGAACTGTCAATACTTGGCACAGCCAAATTCACTGTGGCTCCTAGAAAATGAGGCTGAGTAGTTTAATAACTGTTTTAGTAAATGCTGTAAAGGATTGCAATCCAAAACCTACAGTCTTTTAATGTGTTTTAAGGCCTGAAATCAAGAATAAGTGTTTTAAGTGCAATACATGTACAGTACCTTTGTTTCCTATCAGAGAATAGACCACAGAGGAACTACATGTACCAATCAGATTTGTAGATTTCCAGTAGGGCATGTTGAGTGTCTATGGATTAAATTAGATTGTCAATAGTCTGGAAGTCACTGTACAAATCTTGGCCTCTTGTTTTATTTCAGGACTTGCATACCGGAGCTGGCCTTCTTTTAAATTCTGCAAGAAGCTGGTGAGTTTAGACTATAAACAATATGGTTGAAAGCATCCAAGTTGATCAGTTAGAAAATGATTAATTAAAACACAACTTCTTTACAAGCAAGAAATATGACAAGAATGAAGAAAATTAACAAAATACTGTTAGTGAATCAGTGATGGAACTTGCATTGCCTTAATGTTTAACTAAGTTTTCAGTAGTCGTACCATTGAGAGAAATGTAAAGGCTTCCAATATGTCAGAGGCATGGTGGTATAATATATTAGGGCACTGGACTGTGGATCCAGCAGTCCAGTTCAGCTTGTAGCCCCAGTAGGGGTCACTGTGTTGTGTTCGTGGGCCAGACACTTTTATTTAGTTTCACAATCATGAATGCCTGGCATTACCCAGAGCTGTAGATGTATCCAGCAAAAAGAAATGAATGGCAACAAAGAATAGTTATCCTCTGTAATATCTCCTATTTAGGTTTCCACTTCAGTTCCATCCATTTCTGAAACTTCTCAAATCTCTGGCGGGAGATGAAGATTCTGCTGGAAAGGTTTTTGGTTACATTTTTT